GAGGGGGGTGGAGGGAGCCGGGAAGGGCAGGATCTGGAGCCCGCGGCGAAGTGGCGCGGATACATCCTCTCCGGAGACCGGAACTGGAGAGGCTCCGGCCCTGCCGCCCGGTTGCATCTGGTTTCCCGCGCCGATCGCCGCCGCGACTCCCTCCGAGAAAGGTGAGTTTGCCACCCGCTCGGGGTTAAACTTACAGGGTGTGCAGACAGCACAGATTAGGACTACAGAAGGTGCGCCACTTTAAAAAGTTCTTAAAAATGCAACTGTACTCGGCGTCTTCATGGATCCACACGGGCAATTCTACGTGCGCATCTAAAGACGAGTGGTTCTGCGTTGGCTCCACGGGAGCCCTGCTGGTGGTGACGGGAACACCCCGCATCTTCTTTGGGGGTGGTGATGACACACGGATCGAGTTGCCCAAACGCGAAACGCAGCCGCACGTGTGCAGTGTAGCAGCTACGGGCACCCCAGGGCGCCAGGGACGGCTGCCAGCCCCGCGCGGCTGGGCCCGGGCGCAGATGTTCCTGCAGCCCGTCTGGGACCGCCTGCGCACCCGGGAGGCCCTCACGCAGTCGCCCTTCTTCCCGGTCATCTTCGCCATCACCACCTACGTGAGCTTCTGCCTGCCCTTCGTGGTGCTGGACCTCCTGTGCCCCTGGGTGCCCGCGCTGCGGCGCTGCAAGATCCAGCCCGACAGCGCGCCCTCGGCGGGGCAGCTGCTGTCCTGCCTGCGGCAGACGCTCTACCAGCACCTGGTGTTCGTGTTCCCGCTGACGCTGCTGCACTGGGCCCGCAGCCCGGCCCTCCCGCCCCCCGAGGCCCCCGCGCTGCCCCAGCTGCTGGCCCACGTCGTGCTGTGCCTGCTGCTCTTCGACGCCGAGTTCTTCGCCTGGCACGTGCTGCACCACCGGGTGCCCTGGCTGTACCGGACCTTCCACAAGGTGCACCACCAGAACGCGCCCTCGTTCGCGCTGGCCACGCAGTACGTGAGCTGCTGGGAGCTGTTCTCCCTGGGCTTCTTCGACATGGTGAACGTCTGGCTGCTCCAGTGCCACCCGCTCACCGTCCTGGTCTTCCACACGCTCAACATCTGGCTGTCGGTGGAGGACCACTCCGGCTACGACTTCCCCTGGTCCACGCACCGGCTGGTCCCCTTCGGCTGGTACGGCGGCGTGGTGCACCACGACCTGCATCACTCTCACTTCAACTACAACTTCGCCCCCTACTTCACACACTGGGACAGACTCTGGGGGACTCTGCGGCCCCCTCGCGCCAGGTAGCCCGCACCCCTCCCGTGTCCGGGGTGGCTGCGGAGGGCAGGGGGTGCCCCTCGGAACCAGGACTGTTGGCGCGCTTTCACACTTGAATCAGAAGAAACACGCCTGAGCTCTTTTATTTTTATATTTTAGTAAGTAATTTATTACCTGCTGGAAATTTCTAGAGACAATCTGATGTGGGTTTTTTTGCAATCTGATGAAGTAATTTATATCAATTTTTGTATATCAATAATTGTATACTGGGTGTTGAATTCTAGCTCACTTCAGTAGCCTTGATTCCTGGATCGATTTAGACAATTATCACTGGCATATTTAAATCATTTCTAAATGGATCTGTTTGTAGGACAAAGAATTTCCTATGTTTGAAAGTGTCCTAGAATGAGACTAAAAAACATATTTTTTAAAATGCAGAATCTGATGTCTGATGCTATAAACAATGCAACATGTTCCTGCTGGACAGTAACTAAGATGATTGTACTTTTTTTCCTATTTTTGTTCACAGAATTTTATATTTATATGGAAAGAAATGTTATTTATGCTTAAAAAATATATATGAACCAAATAAGTACTGGCTCCTGTTTCATTGGCATTTTGAGTAAAAAAAACTAAAACAGGGCGAGGGAGCTGGGATGGCAGGTTTCTGTCCCAGCCTCCCTCTGCCCCACCTTGGGATGAGAGGAATCTGGTGGTGGGATGAGAGGAACTTGGGGGGCGGGGGGCGGGTGTTACGGGAGAGGAAAAGGCAGGAGAAAGGGTCTGTCTGTTTTGAACTAGAGATTTTAAAGAGGAAAAAAACACTGTTGTTCTAAATGTGTTTTAATTGTTTTCTGCCTCACAGGCAACTTAAAGAATTACCTTGTGAAGTTTTAGAGAGATTAACACTGAGCAACCATTTGCTTCTCTGGGGGGAGGGCAGTTTTGGGGGATGAATAGAATTACTGGGGTGCCTTGCTTTACAAAACTGGTGAGTCAAATGGGTACATTCGAGGGGCTGATAGATACAGAAAGGGGTTCAGAATGCACCCCCCTTTTTCATGAAGCAATCTAGTACAAATGACGATTGGACGCATCGTCTCGGCTATTTGGGAATTTTGTCTATTCATTTTTCTTAAGTAAACAAACATGCAAACCGCATGTCCATTTCTCAAAGGAAAAAAGTGAAATTTGACCCTACATTCCTAGTTCCTCATCTTAAAAGAAGATTGTGCCTCCGATGTTCTTCTGCTTCTTTTGTGTGTGTGTGTGTTTTTTTTTTAAATACATTTTTGTTGATTTCAAAGAGGAAGGAAGAGGGAGAGAGAGATAGAAACATCAATGATGAGAGGGAATCACTGATCGGCTGCCTCCTGCATGCCCCCACCGGGGATCGAGCCTGCAACCCAGGCATGTTCCCTTGGCTGGAATCAAACCTGGGACCCTTCAGTCCGCAGGTTGATGCTCTGTCTACTGAGCCAAACCGGCCAGGGTGCCTCCGATATTCTTGAAGATTATTTGTGACAGTAAGTGTCCCTATCACTGCTCATCATGTTCTCCATTCAACAGCTGCCAGGCTGTTTTAATTTTATCTTTGGAGTGTAGTTAGATAGGGCAAAGTTAAAAGTCGATACAATTTAGACAGAAAAGTATAAAGAATGGCAGCTTTGCATTTAATTTTAGGCTCACTACATATATGAACCAAACTATGTGTCTAAAGGTGAAAAATCCATCTAAAGACCTGGTCTCCACAGTCTGCTAAACGAAATTCCTCCAATTCTTTGGCAAAATGCAATTAGAATGCCTGACAACTAACTCAGAGGCATTTTCCTTCCCAATGTGTGTGCTCTGTTGGTTTTTTCACTCAAGTTATCTCCTCTTCTGTCCTTAGCAAGACCAGGCTGGGACGTAAAGTCTGTATTGATGTATAAAAGTGAAATCCACGAAAACGGGTAGTGAGATGTAAGGGGAAAGTGCTGATTGGAGGTCGAATGTTAATATCATGATTAACAAAGCAAAGAAGGATGAACGGGCAGGTGTGGAACATCTGATAGAAGTATTTGTTGTCTTGAGCAGCTCCAGTCTCCCCAGAGCTGCCTGCAAATCTTGGATCCTGACAATCACAGCTCACTCTCTGAGAGTTTTTAACAATGTGTCATGTTGCCTCGCCTTATAAAGGAATTTTACAGGGGAATTTTACACTTGGGTCAAATTGTCCACATAGAAATTATTTGGGCTTACAGAAATTGGCCCAAACCAATATGCTCAATTAATATTTGACAAAGGAGGCAAGAACATACAATGGAGCCAAGATAGTCACTTCAATAAATGGTGTTGGGAAAATTGGACAGATATATGCAAGAAAATGAAACTAGACCATAAAAGTGAAATCCACGAAAACGGGTAGTGAGATGTAAGGGGAAAGTGCTGATTGGAGGTCGAATGTTAATATCATGATTAACAAAGCAAAGAAGGATGAACGGGCAGGTGTGGAACATCTGATAGAAGTATTTGTTGTCTTGAGCAGCTCCAGTCTCCCCAGAGCTGCCTGCAAATCTTGGATCCTGACAATCACAGCTCACTCTCTGAGAGTTTTTAACAATGTGTCATGTTGCCTCGCCTTATAAAGGAATTTTACAGGGGAATTTTACACTTGGGTCAAATTGTCCACATAGAAATTATTTGGGCTTAGAAAGACTTTCTCAAAATCGAATGTCTTATCAGTTTGTAATACCTTGAGAGGTGGAAGTGGAGTGGAGAGGATGAGCAATTTTTCAGATAGCTTGAGGGAATAGTTATAACAATAATAATGATGGTGATGAAGGGGTTCACATTTGTATTCACTGTCACACACATTGCTTCTTACATTGCTCTAAAGGAGGTAGGATAGTTATCATCATTTAAAAAATTATTATTATTATTATTATTTTTATCAAATGTTCTGGATAGAGAATTGGTACCTCCATAGGTTAAGTGACTTACTCCAGATTCTAAAATAATAGAAGTTGGAGCCAGTTCTCGAACTTAGGTCTGGTAGTGTATACTATCCCTCTTCTCTGATGAAGCTTAAGATAATCTCTATCTTACCAAATGCTATTAAGTTGCAAACTCTGCGGCACCAACAAATGACCTCTCTTCACTATTCCTCCTCAGCCACTGCCCCTCAACACGGTGCCCCCCTAGCCCACTATTTTGATGTGGACGTCCCTGGGTTCCAAGCCTCTGCTGGGCAGGAGGGAAAGCTAGGGAAAGCAGGCCTAGGCCATCTAAATGGGCTTGAGAAAGCATGCGGTCAGGGCTCTGTTTTCCCTGTCGTTCAGGGCATGTCAGCTAGCACTCAGGCTGAAGTCAGATGGCCTGGGGCAACCTTGACTCTGAGACTTAAAAGCTGAGGGACTCTGGAAAAGTTAATCTCTCCATGCCTTGCTTCCTTTCCTAATAATCATAGAACCTACCTCACAGAGTTGTTGCGAGAGATTTTGAGCTACTACTAGGTGGATTGGAGGATTGCTATGATGGATGTTTCATAATGTGGATACCAGGACTGTAGCCTTCTGTCCACAAACATGTTTGAGCTCTCTCCTTTTACCTGGAACCAAAGAAAGCCATTTTTTATTTTGCTTCCATGAAAGCTGCTTAGCTTGTCATCTTTCAAAGCCAAAGTATTGGAAAGAGACAGACTGGAAAGTGTCTGACTCTAGTTTGTCGCCATGAGTCATCCCACCTCTTCCTGAAAATTTCACTTCTGTTCACTGCCATCTTCCTAACTATCAAGTCCATTGATTCCCTGTGCCCTGCCCTCGCTTTCCCATTGCCTTGGATTTGTTTTTTAAGGTCTTTCTTTTGCTAACTAGCCTCATGTTGGAATTCGGTTCTTGCTTGCTTTTAATAAGATTTCTCTATTTTCCTTCCTAATTCTGTTTCTTTTTCCTTCAGGGGCTGCTTTCCTCAGAGGGAGGCAAGCCTCAAGGTCCTTCTATTTTATTAAAAAATATCTAAATTGTGTGTAAGAAATGCCCTTCCTACCATCTTCAAGTGCACCCTGTAAGTCTCTGCTTTCATTGTGTTCTAGTGCACACACAGATGGGGTATATGCACACATATACCAAGCATATGTATGAATAGACACTATATATGTATGCACACTATATATATACACACTATTTATGTACATGCCCCATACAAACTATATATCCACACACTATAACGTAAGCTCATGTATACTATATATATATGTATATCTATAATAATAAAGTCATAATATGCTAATTAGACTGGGAATCCTTCCAGATGACCTTCGGGAGGAAGCTGGGGACTGCGAGGGAAGCCCGGGTTCCCAGTGCCAGAGGGAAGCTGGTGCCAGCAGCTGCGGGGAGGAAGGCCTACTCTTACACGGATTTTGTGCATCAGGCCTCTAGTATGTATATATAAACTATACGTGTATGTACTCTATATGTACTTATACACTTTATACACACTATATATATGTGTGCACATATTATATAGACACTTTATGTACGTGTGCCAACATTTTATACATATATAGAGAAACTATATATGTATATCCACTATATACATACTCCCTTCCCCTCTCTTTCTACACACACACATACACACACATATGTACACACACACACACCTAACACACCACCACTTCTCTCTGCCCCTACTACCATGCCTCATTCTTGATAATGACTGGTTTAGTATTGCACGACTCCTGGAAGCAGTAGAAACACACCTTTGCCATTAATCATGTCTTTCTTTATCCATTCCATCCTCCATCACTAGTTTATCCTAGCTTCCTAGATAAGGCCATGTTCACAACCCATAATCCCTGTTCTAGAGAGGTGCACAGTCTACTGCGAAAGAGAGTCAAGCAAACAAATGAATCTACTCTAATGTAGCCAGTGTGATCATGCAGACGAATGACGGGTTGTTGAGGAAGCCCAAAGAAACATGGGTCAGTTGAGCCACAGAAATCATGAAGGATTGGCATGTGTTCCCAGGCGTGCCCACCAGAAAAAAACAGTGTGGCAGAGTCAGAGAGGGAGGACGGAACTTGACCTACTTAAGGCTTAGTGGGAAGCTCAGAGCACTGTGAAGACAGGGGAGGAAAGTTAAGGCATGTCGTCTTGCCTCTTGACAAGCCATTGAACCTGCTTCGGACTGTTTGCTCACTTGCCCATGCCACATGGTTTTGGGGAGGTTGTATATAAAACTGCTTTGAAACAAATGTTAGGGCTTTTTGTTATTTATTGATTTATGATGAGTACATGAATAAATGCATTGAAAACTGGACTTGGAAATGTCATGTTAAGAAGCTTAGGTTGTGTTCTCTGGGCAATGGAGGGGAGGGGTGGGGGTGCCACAGATTTTAAGCAAAGAAATAATGTGATTCTATTTGGTTTAAGAAGATAGTGGGTGGCAGTGAATGGTGGTAGGGATTCAGTTCCGCCTGGATTCCAAACCTGGCTCCCCTGCCTATGAACTTTGTGACCTTGAGCAAATCACTTAATCTCTTGGAGGTTCAATGTCCTCATCTGTAAAAAGAGGGTGGTAGTGCCTACCCTTGAATTGTGGTAA